GCAGACTGTCATTCCCTAGCCGGAAAGCTCTGAGCCCCTGCGACGGTTGTTGGCTCATCCCACGGCGGCGCTGTGCCAATGCGCGAGCGCCGCCCCGGGCGCCATCGACTCAGGGTCCGCGCCGTGACACGCATGCGGTTGCGCGAGAACTCAACCCAGACATCCGCGTCGAGACCATCCAAGCACCCGCCCAAGCCGGAAGCGGGGACGCAATCGGGGTCTCCGGTGGTGAAATCGCTCTTGAAATTGCAGGCCGTGACGTCGTCCGCGAAGTCGTCCTCAGATGGCGCCCGCGTGGCCTCGACATTTATCTCGCCCATCGCGTCGTCGCGTTCGACGTCGGCGCCGTCGCCGCGCAGCTCCAGGCTGATGTCGTCTTCGCCGATGTCCACGTAGACAAACTCGTCGGCGCCGTTGCCGCGCTCGGATTCGCGGTCGGCCATGAACTCAACCAACCAATTTGCCCGCCATGCGCCGCGGGGCCGCGGGGTAGCATTCGCTGGTCGAGCTCGGAATCGGCGGCCCCCATGGGGCATCCGTGACACGCGCGCGTCGACTGGGCGGGGCGCTCGGCGGCAGGTGCCCGTCCGCGTGCGGCGCGAGCCACTGCGCAGGCCTTGCGCCGGAGGAAGCTCGCCTTGCCCGCAGCATCGGAATGCACGAGATTCGCTCGGACAAAAACGGCGACCATCTAGTGGCAGGGCACTGCGCCAACAAGCGCTAACCTGACAACTGATGCGCTGCCGTCGAAGAGACAATGCCCTCTGAACAAACCGCCGCCGCCGCGCGCTGTCGGCTAGAACGCGCGTTGCGATTGACGCGCCGGTGGCGACTGGGCGACGGGTTGAAAAGGGAGAGGGGCAGCACGTTTGATGGCGGCGGCGGCAGTGGAGCGCTGCAGTGCGTCGCGGTATTCCGCTTTGCAGACTATCGTTCTTCAGCTGGAAAGCTCTGAGCCCCTGTGGCGGTCGCTTACTCATCCCAGAGCAGCGTTGTGCCATTGCGCGAACGCTACACCCAAGCACCCCCATACTCAAGGCCACCGTCGCCATCGCGACTTGTCCTCGCTGTCGCTCAAGCGAATCACTTGTGTGTGTATATCTAGACATGTATGCACACACACACACACACACCTCTATATAGATACAATGCGTGTGTATCTCTATATATATATATAGAGAGATGATGTGTATATATTAGTTTTATTTATAGACATCGAAAACCAAAAATTCTTTTCTGCAGCTGCGAAGCGGCGGCGCAGGTTGCGGCGGGCGCGGCGCCGCAAACCCCGCAACAGCGCCTCGGGGAGCAGGGGCGGCTGCGCGCCGCCCGCGCCGTCGAGCGCGGCAGCCCCGTGCACCCCGTGGGCGGCCATGCCCGCACTTGCGGGCGCGAGCGCTCTCAACGGGCGACGCGTCTTGGCAGCGAAGCGGGCGCGGCGGCGGCGGCGCCCGGCGGCGAACGGGGCGGGAGAACCTCCTCCTCCTCCCCCTCCTTCTCCTCCCCCTCCTCCTCGTCCTCCTCCTCCTCCTCCTCCTCCTCCCTCTCCTCCTCCTCCTCCTCGCGTCTTGGCAGCGAAGCGGGGCGGGAGAACGCGGCGGCGGGCATCGGGGAACGCCTGGCGGTGCGGGGCGCGGTTCGCGCCGCGTTTGGGTCGGCGGGGAACGTTATGATTACGGCGAAATGCAGATATGATGACGCAGGCAAAAAGGAGGAGAGGCAGAGGCGCCGGAGAGAGAGGATGAAGACGAGAAAGATGGGGGGAGAGGCGGGAGGAGGAATCAAGGAACGTGAATAGGAACGCGGGGACAGGGATGGCAACAGAGAGGGTTGAACAATGCGCAGTATAATAACGATAAGGTGAAGTCGAGAAGGAAGGGGCGGGCATTTCACCCGACGCAGTGGGCAATGCGTCCGACGAGTTGGGCATTGCACCAGCAGGGTTGGGCATTGCACCCAACGGATTGGGCATTGCAACCCGGACTGCGCTTGGGGCATTTCGCCCGGTCGGGGTTGGGCATTGCGCTGGAATGGTTGGGCATCGCACCCGAAGGGTTGGACATTGCGCCCGCAGGGTTGGGCACTGCACCCGAAGAATTGGGCAGCGCGCCCGGGGAGTTGGGCATTGCGCCCAGAAGGAGTGGGCAGTGTACCCAGAGAAATATCATTGAGGAGGGAAGAGGAGGGACGCGGAAGGAGGAGGGAGAGTAAAGGTTGAAGAGGGGGAAGAAAGGGGGGAGGAGGATGGGGGAGGAAGGGGGGGGGAGGACGACGCGAGGGATCGAGGGGAAAGCAGTACATGGATGAACGGAAGATGAGGCCAGAGGCAGCCTCAAACAACAGCGCATGAGACTGCGCGAGCTCTGCCACGCGCCCTCCCTCGGATCCGGTGTGGCGCGCGCAGCCTTCGGCGCCGTCGTCGCCGTTGCCTTCGCCGTCGGCGTCGGCGTCGACGTCCACGTCGCCGTCGCTCGCGCCACTCGAGCAACGCATTCCAGAACACCAGAACAGCGTGGGAGGTCCCCCGAAAAAGCACTCAAAAGGACCCCCCGCCTGAGAGTTCCCAACCAGAAGAATAAAGACAGCAGCACAGTCAACTCCCGCCCGAGAGGAGAAAAATAAAGACAACTCCCAAACAACACGAAATAAAGACAGCCAGAACAAGAAAGGCAGCAGAAGCTATATGTATGCATACACATCTGTGCATATCTACAGATATATGTATTTAATAACAAATCGACTCAACCAACAGAAAACTCCCCTTTGACAGGCCCCCCAAAAGCAACCAAAATCAGGCTCCCGCTTGAGAGGCCCCTAAAAAGAAGAAACAACAGAACAACGCCCCCTCTCACCCTTGCAACTGCCCCAAACAACCCAAACAACCCAACGTTACAAAAGGGGGACTCTTCCTCATCCTCCAAAAGACGGATCGGAAGAAAAGGGGTGGACATTTGTCTTGCACCACTTCTAGTCATGCCTACCGCCCTCCCAGGACCCTTCCTCCTGCTCCCCCGTTGCCCCCCCCCCATCCTCCCCACCCTCCTATCCTCCTACCATTCTCCCCACCCTCCTATCCTCCCCACCCTCCTGGCGCCTTGTCCTGGAGTCCTGGAGCGCGCTCGCCTAAACCGCGAGCCGAATCCAGCCGTGGCGACGAGGGCGCCTGCCTGGGGAGCATCAAGCTCAGCCCTCTCCTCCTCAGCTCATCCTGCCTGCCTGCCTCCTCCTTCAAGCTCTCCTCCTTCAGCTCATCCTGCCTGCCTGCCTCATCCTGCCTGCCTGCCTCATCAGCTCTCCTCCTTCAGCTCCTCCTCAAGTGGTCCCCCTGCCTGCCGCAGCCGCGCTCGCCCGCTGGCTGCGGCACGCTGGCGCCCCAGGGGAGAGGGGGGCACACCTCAGCAGAGCCAGGGGTTGGCTCCGGGTGCTCTCCATCTGGCGGCCCTCGTTTCGGGAGCCCGCGTGGAACATCGGGAATTCCAGGAAATCTTGGGTAAATCCTGCCGTATCGCGCGTGTCGCGCGGCTTACCGGCGACTCTCTGGCCTCTGGGAGCTCGCAGGAGGTTTACTGACCACGCACTTGTAACCCAGGGTACACCTTATGCGATGCTTAAGAAAACCTAAGTTTTCGGCCAGAGTCTCGATTATTCTTAACGTTTCAATGTAAATCCCAAGATTTTATTAGAAATGTTGGGTTTTAGTTCAAGTTCTGAGACGATGAATTTCTTAACCCATGATTTCTTAAGCATTTCGCAGGGTGTAGGGGCTTTTTCTTTCATCCCTCAAGAGACGTGTCATTCTCATGAGCACCCACCCACCACATCGAACTGCCCAGCTGCACCCGAAGGTGAGGCTGGCGGGGGAGGCGGGTCGCGGGGCCAGCTCGCTCCAGTCTGCAGACGTGCGCCGCCTTGCTTGCTGGTCACGGCGTGGCCCCCCAGAGTTCTGGGCCCCGTCCCTAGAAGAAGAAAACGCTGCATAAACATAAGCTTTCAGAGCTCGGAGGTGGATAGACCTCCTACCATGACACGTCGATTAAGGAATTGGCCGTCTTCGGTTCGCTAGAGGGCGTCGCGACCGTCAGGTTTGCGGTTCCAGGTCCGTCGGTTTCGGTCCTAGGCCGTTTTCACTACGGGGAGGTGTGCTAAAGGGAGGTCTGTCCACCGCCGATTTTTTCATCCCTCAAGAGACGTGTCATTCTCATGAACACCCACCCACCACATCGAACTGCCCAGCTGCACCCGAAGGTGAGGCTGGCTGGCGAGGCGGGTCGCGGGGCCAGTTCGTTCCAGTCTGCAGGCATGCGCCGCCTTGACTGCTGGTCACAGCGTGGCCCCCCAGAGTTCTGGGCCCCGTCCCTAGAAGAAGAAACAACTGCATAAACATACAGTGCCGTTTTAATACATGCTCCGCGTGCGGATCATGTATTTAACATGCAGGGATTTATTATTCAAAACAACGATGCGTTCATGCATAACTTTACTCATACATTAGTCATGTATTAACCTTCCTATCTGTTTTAAACTCCCATGTATTAGAAACAAACTGCCCTGTAAGCCTTCAGAGCTCCGCACAGACCTCTTGGATCGGCGTGGGCCCCCCATGGCAGCGCCTCCGTCGGCGCCCCGTGGCGCACTCCGCGCGCCAGGGAGGGGGGTCCAGCGTCGATCCAAGACAAACGCGCGGACATCCAAACATCTATGTGTACAGGTAATAATATGTTATTATTATGTCTCAACGGCGCCGCTCCCCAGAGGTCTGGATCCCTGGTCGCCTTTTGACCGCCCCCAGGGCTTGGCAGAGGCCCCCAGAGGCCGACAGGGGCCGGGCCGTCTTCCCGTCGCGATCGTGCATTGCGCGAGGATGGCAGGGCCAGTGAGCCCTCGTCCTTCTTGCTTCTCCTCCTCTTCCCTCCTCCCTCCTCCTCCTCCTCCTCCTCCTCCTCCCTCCTCCTCCTCCTCCTCCTCCTCCTCCTCCTCCTCCTTCTCCTCCTCCTCCCGAGGCGCTGGTCAACGCGAAGGCGGTGCTGAGCGGGGCGAGCTACGAGTAGGGCGGCGGGCTCCGCGGCGTCCCAGCGCGCCTGCCCCGCCCAGGGCAAGCCGCGATCTTCCCCGGCGCTCATGCGGGCGGAGGGGGGGGTGGAGGCGGGGGGAGAAGGGCTTCTCTTCTTCTTCTTCTTCTTCTTCTTTTTCTTCTTCTCCTTTATTCCCAGCCCCCGTTGCCTTCCTTCATCCCCCTTTTCTTTCCCTCTGCCCCCCTTTCCCAGCCACTCCATGCCACCTCCCCTCCCCTCCTCCTCGTCGTCACCCCGCCCTCCCCTCCACTCCCCGCTCCCCTCCACCCCGTGAGGCTAGCCTCGCAGGGCGGCCTCCTCCAGGGCCTTCGTGGCTTCCCGCGTGAGGAGGAGAAGGACAAGGAGGGGGAGGCGGAGGACAGGGGGGGGAGGGGGAGTAGACCATAGATACATGAGCGATGCTGCAGTACACCCTCCCGTCCCAGGTCTCTTCCTGCAGCGAGGACGGAGGAGAGGGGCGGGGGGTTGGGTAGTTCATCGGAGGAGGACGGAGGAGGGGCAGGCAACATAACTGCCATTGCTCATGGCACCTCAGCGCAGCACGCGGCGGTCGCCACTGGCGCGGAGGCCGCCACTGGCGCGGAGGGGTCCAGCGCCGATCCAGGGCATCAGCGCTGACCACTAAATGCCTTCTGTGATTTATGATGATGGTAGTGTTAATTACTATTCTGACTAATGATACTATGATTGCCTTTTATCTTGAATCATAGTATTGTCGTTCTTATGTGTATCATGCCCTGTTTTTTGTTGTTCGCCTTCGTCTTCTCATGTTTCTTCTTCACTGGCCGGCGCCGCCCCCCACGCCCAGCGCTCGCGCGGGTTTGCCACCTTATCCGCTCCTTTACGCTCAGCGGCGCTGGCGCCCCGAGCAGGCTGTCGGCGACCCCACGGAGAAGGTGGGAGGAGAGGTGGCCAGACGAACGGGGGGATCCGCACGGTGCAGGGGGCCAGAAAGGAGGAGGTGGCAGGAGGAGCACGGCGGAGAGAGGGGAGGAGGGTGAACGGAGGGACCCGTGCAGCGGGGAGCGGCCCGAGAGGGCCGCAACGCCGGCCCGACTTCGACAGCATCGCATCGGCGGGCGTGCCTTCGCCTGTCTGGCGTGACTGCCCCCGCTTGCTCGGTGGGTGTGGTAAGGGAGGGCAGGCGTCGCCGTCGCTGCCCGAGCCGCCAGCCGCGCGCGCCGCGGCCGCGCCCAGCTGCAGAGGCGCCCCTCCGAGCGGGCGCGCGGGACGAGCCCACCGCCACCCGGCGGGCCGATGGGCCCGCCCTCGGCCGGCAGCGGGGCCGCGCCCGGGCGGGCTGGCGGGCCGACGGCGCCGGCGCCCCAGCGGGCCGCGGCCGGCCCACAGCGGCCGCGCGCCCCGCGTCGTGGGGGAGTCCGGGGCACGGAGGTTTTTCGTGGTTGTTCGGGCCTCTGGGGGCTTTCGTTTTCTTCTCGTCGTCCTCCTCCTCCTCCTCCTCCTCCTCCTCCTCCTCCTCCTCCTCCTTCTCCTCCAGGTGGCCCAGATGAGGCGCCAAGGAGTGCGCCACCCTATCTCCCACCTCCCGGAATTCCGCGAGGGGCACACTCCCCTCGCCCCGCGGCGGCATGTCAGGTGGCGGTCTGGCGCCCTCGTCGACTGCCGGTCTGCTCCGCATCGTGCAGTACAGTCCCATTGTGGCCAACACACACTTTCGCTTACTTGACATCGCGACGGAACTTGGCGTTAAGGACATCATCGCGCTGACGGGCACGCAGAAGAAGTCGAAGGGAGAGCAGTGGGAGGAGACCAAGAGAATAGGTGCATACAACGCGATTGAATTGGGTATTCGTGGGGCGCACTTACATCCAAGGCATGTGGCGTGACCGTGTTGTTGCGAAGGTTCATATTCCCGATGTCCTCATTCAAGAAAATCACTGCAGTCCCCAAAACCCTATGGGGGCGCTGTCTTTGGCTGCTACTTCGGAGAGGAGGGATCACGTACGGAGCTTGCGTTGTTTACTATCCCCCACGCGAGACTAATCGAGCTGCCCGTCTCGCGTATGAACGCACAGTGGATCAGTTGAGCTTACGGCTCAGTGAAACGATTTTGTTTGTGTTCAGAGAACAAGGTGCGTTAGCATTCATTTTAATAGACTTGAACGGTGGGCTGCCCCACTCCACGCAGGATGGCGTCGCAGGCAGATTTGGCAGAGGAAAGACGACCCCGAGCTCTGCCAGACTACGGCCTCTTCTAGCAGGATGGGAGACGACGAGCGCCAACACTCACAGATATTGTCCTCCCACCTTCACCTCCAACGCGGGATCGGAGAGCCTCATTGATAACGTTTTTGTCCCTGTCGCCCTTGTTGGCATGCCAAAGAGGGCACAGGTGCTCACATCAAGCGCGAAGAGATTGCATATTGCAGTACATCGAGAAAGCAGGGATCGTAAACCAGTTGTCGTTGCCCTTCATGCTCGCCCTGCAGCCTCGTTTGAGCCCCACCGAGAACCGCGTCCCAATTGTGGGGCCTTTTTACCAGTGTTTTCAGACAGGCTTCAAGCGCACGGAGGGTCTGGAGGCCATGGAGAGCCTCGTTGCGGGTAGGATGCAAGAGTTTGGCCAAGCTGGTGAATCTGGGGATCTAGAGAAGACGAACCAGATCTTCAGGGAAGTCCTCTGCCAGGCCACCATACTGGTCTTCAGCGAGTCCCTCCTGTACACCGAGAGCCGCAAGGAACACCTGGAGCCCCTCAAGAGCCGCTTAGCCGAGCGTCGGACCCTACGAGCAGCAGCTAGAGATGATGAGGAGCACACCGCAAATATCAAGCAGCTGAGCAAGGACACCAGAGAGCATAGTCAACAGCACTAGCAAGAGATACAGAAACGCACGTGCACTGAAATACGGCCGGCAGCAAAATAACAAACAATTATTTAGTCCAGAAGATTGCGCGCCTTTTAGCTTGCTAACAAAGCGAGGACCTGGGCAGCGACGGTTTGTTGCATGCCCAGGTTCAGCGGCAGGCGCAGTCAGCTGGGCGCGCAAGATGCAGTTAGACCACTGCCAGGCGGCTGCACCGCGGCCGTTAAAACACCAGAGAAGGTATCATAAGAGGTTCGAGCCGAATCCCAGACCACCACGGACCCGACCGGAGCGATGTACAAAGCAGCAGAAGACAGGAACCTCTTGTCTAGGAGTGCATGCCGGCTTCGATTATGGAGGACGTGGTCCACATGGAGCGCGCCGCCTGAATGCCTTCGCCTAGGGCAACACCCCAAATGGATCAACGAGCGCAGGCATGCTCAGCTACACGGTCTTGGTTTCATCGATGAACGTCCGAAGATCACCCAGACTCGAGACATGTTGCTGGGCCTCTTGCGCGCTTGCAGATTATATGACAGGCATCCGATTTCTTGACGCAGCGCACAGGCTGCACGCATACCCAAGCACCACAGCAAGCTCGACACAGTAGGGGGGCGCATCATCATGGTCAGGTGCGCGCTCGGTTGCGCGTTTCACGGCGCAGTTCTCGTTCGGGAGGAACCCCAATGGGACCCGCCCAGTTGAATGCGCGGAGGCCTCAGGAGGAGAAGGGGGAAGACGGCGATGGGGGTACATATGGCGGGAAGTTATCGGATGCAGGCATCATGCTACGAATGCATACTACACGGTTTAGCATTCGGCCATCTTAGACTGCATCGATTCATGCTACGCGCCAGAGGATCCGACATTCATCAGGGACAGAATAGTACACAATACCTTTCTCTTGGAAGATGAGACGGGATCCTTCTTGCAGGAGACGCGGGGGCGACTCAGCTTTTTTGTTGAATTTATGCAGAGCCAGTTCTAGAGTGCTTCGCATACCTCACGGTCGTCAAGAACTGGTCCCCCTGTTTGGAGGCGTCGCTACCTTGGGGCCCCGAATGGGCGGGGCAAGTCTCCATGACGGGCCACATGGGCGACGTAGCCAACAGGGCATTGGGGGGCGGGGAGGGCACCGTGGAGGAGATCATTAGCAGAGGAAGTATTTGGGAGAACGAGGCGATTGACAGGGGACTGAGGAGGGTGGCGGCAGGGCAGAACGTCAGCAAGCAGGAAAACATATGTTACCTGCGAGGCCGCGGGGCCCATCAGGCGCAGCGCAGGCTATGCGGCGGAGCCGTCGAAGGAGTGGCTGGGCGCACGCTCCACCATTGCCGTTATCTAGGAGGTTCACAGGCAGCGACCTCTGCACCGGGCCCCGAACTTCACAGGAGGCTCAACGCAGAGAAGGCTGCGTTTCATAGTATGGGGAGGTTTTGGCATTCGGACCCGCCGCTCGCGCTTGTCAAGGACCTCCTGGAGTGCCAAGTTCGACGCCCAGATCTTTAATTGCGAAGGTCGAGTGGATGACTCGGCCAATCCCTGGGCGCGTCGGGCTCTGGGCGATCTCGACAGGCTTCAGGAGCTGGAGGCTGGCGCAGTTCTCTTCTCGATGCAGACCCCTTTTGAGTTGTTGTTCCAGGAGCCGGCCGACTTCTGCAGCGCTGATGTCGGCGAGCTTCGAGCGCGCTTCCTCCCGCGAGATGCAGAGACTCGCGAAGCTGCAGGGACTGCGGCCACTGGCGAGCATCGCCGCCTGGAGGTGAGGGACGACGGGAGCGTGCGCAACTCACCCAGGCCGACGAGAAAAACAGATATATGCCCACATCGGTTCCGCGATAGGAGGATCACACTGTCGAGCGAACATTGCGAAAGTTGTCGTGGACACAATCGACTGCGCATTGTGCGAATCGACCTTCCGAGACACCGACGCCGCGAGACAGCGCGTAGCAAGCGGCCTGCAACGGTGCTACTGCCCAAAAGGTCGCGCTCGCTTCGCACCGCCCCTCATCGGGCCGAAATTGGACTGCGTCGCGCGCCTATCATCATTCGCGACCACAGCCGACTTTTCCAAGCATGTCGTGAGCACATTGTACCTCACTTGCTTCCTTCGTTTCATATCCGCGAAGGTCAGCCTCAGCAGATTGGAGGGGGCGAAGTGGCATGCGGCACCGCGCCCTCGCGGGTCGACTGACGCCGCATGGCCGCCCAGGAAGAATGATAAACAATGACGAGCAGAGGCAGCGGGCGAGAACGAGGACGATGCCATGGACAGCACGCTCGCGATAATGCGGAGTCTTCTCGTTCAGCTCGAAGGCAGAATCAGGGGGGCATTGGGGAACAAGTCGCACGTTGCAATCCTGATCAACAAAAAATGCGACGCCCCCACTCAGATACAGGATTGCTTCCAGCAGTACCTCAAGATGCGGAAGGAGGACCCCGACACCGACCACAGACCCCCAGGGTGCCACTGCCTTTCAGGGGCCCAGAACGCTTTGCTCAGCCTCGAGCACAAGGACACCTCACCCTGGATGCGATTGACGCAGGGGGGCTGCAGCGGCTCTACGACACGCTCAAAGCAGGGGGGCCCGACAGCGGACGGATCTGGGCGAAGGAGATGATGATGCTGCCGACCTTCCAGATGCCAGGGAAAGAACCCAATGTTCGCATTTTGTTCAGTGGCCTAGGAGAGCTCGCACTGCCGAAGGACCAGGCGGACCACGAGAAACTGATGAAAGCAACCGGCCAGCCCGAGGACGATATACACCAGCTCTTCCCCATAGAGATGCCGACCTCTCATCTTCAAATGCGCGGAGCACGGGCGCCCGTGGAAACGATCATAGCCGAGGCCTTGCGCAGCATGGGGGGCCAGATCTTGAGCGATCGCGCACCCAGGACCAGCCGTGGCGGAGGTTCTAGAGGCAGCGGTGCTTGAAATTTGAATATTGAAGTGGACCCGCTATGAGACTACACATGCATATTACATTGGGTGCAACAAGTTGCTTGGGTGTGGCTTTTATACTCCTGAATATTGAAGTGGGCTCCCATTGAGATTACAGACACATATGGAAGTGGATGTGCTACAGGTGATTCGGGCTTCGTTTCTCTATCCTGAATTTGGAAGTGGGCTCTCTCTGAGACTATATACATTGAAGTGGATGCTACAAGTTACTTGGGCATGGAGTCACTGAGAATTATTATTCTGAGCTGCTCGCTTCGGGCGAACGCACCGCATCGTCGCCGCGCCCTGTTGCCGTCGTCCGCGGTCTTTTCTTGCTCCAGGGACCTCCTGCCTGGCCAAGGCCTAACGGCCGAGGCCCTTGGGGGAGGATGTCGGGCCTTTTGGTTTCATTGGCGTCACAGCACAGCTTCGCTGCTTGTACATTCAGCTGTGCCCTGGTGTGCCACGCCAAGTTCCATGTCTTCAGCTGCTGGATGGACTACCCCAGTTACTCCACGCAGCTGACTTCCATAAATTTCCACCCCTGGAGGGCCACCATCGTGTTGCTCGCACTCTTCTTCGTCTTCGCGTGAGGCTGGCTTTCGCCTTGGCCGCGCCTCCGTGCTGGCGCCCCACTGTGCGCATCAGCCTTAGCTGACAGGCTGCAGGAACTGACTAGAGAGGGGTTCGAGCTAAGCCTCCAGACCCCACCCCAGGGCCACCTCCTCACAAGCCGCAGCTCGGATGTGGCCTGAATGGAAAGTGAGAGAGAGAAAGAGAAAAGAGAGTGAGAGAGAGGGAGAGAGAGAAACTCCTCCTCCTCCTCCTCTTCGTCCTCCTCCTCCTCCTCCTCTTCCCCCTCCCCTCCTCCTCCTCCTCCCTCCTCCTCCTCCTCCCTCCTCCCTCTCCTCCTCCTCCTCCCTCTCCCCCCCAATGCATTTTTCCACGCTGTGACGATCGTAGCGTTGAGCGGCGCTCCGGCGCCGCACCCGCAGCACCCCAGTCGGTGCCAGCGCGTGGGGGTGTCCTTGTCCTTGTCCTATTGGGGGTCTCCGCTGGCCTTCGGGACCTTCTGGAGTCGATCTGGGACCACGCATTGGTGCCGGCGAGCAGGACGGTGGGGCAGATTCGAGGTGCTGGGTTGAACCGGGCTTCTTTTGAGGGGGCGGGCCTTTCTCGGTCTCCTGGGGCTGTTTTCGGGCCGTGGGTTCCGATCTTCCGACCTTCTGTGGCATTGATCACCGGAATGAGTTTCGAACACCAAGAAAACACCCCCAAACTCAAGGGTTTTCACGTGTCGGGCCCTGGGAGACACTGTTTCCACACTGTTTCGATACTCGTTCGACACTTTTCTGGGTGCTCGATATTATATCTGGGATGTGGTCCTTAAGTGCGATGGGAGCAACATAAGCACAGGGGCCGTCAAAGACGAATCGGGATGAAAAATTGCATCAGATGAATCCTTGGAGGAGTCTTGGGACAGATTTTGAACGCATTCGCTTTCATCCCATCCCTTTTGGCCGATACTCTTGGAGGGCCTGGCCAGTTCGGACCCCTGGCCGCCTCCTAGGTCCCAGCGTGGATTGTGATGCTCCAGGTTTCGTGAGGTGCTCGCGAGCTGGAGCTCGTGTCACATGTCACACCAGGCTTAAGTCGGGCGTGTCCCTCTACAGGAGGAGTATCCAAAGATTGTCAACACATTGTCGAGGAACGATTTTTCCAGCAAGTTTGACTTTTTTGGAGTGGTGTTCGACTTTTGATCAAAATGTTCCGGCCCAAATCGGCCTATAGGGAGACATGCTCGACCTAACACATGTCACACCAGGCCCGCCATTTGTCTGACGGCTCCCGTCAGGCGAACCCGAGCCTCCCAAGAACGAGTCTCACGTCTTCTCGACATTTGTACATAGGGGATAGAAGTCGTCTCCGACTGCTTTTCGCGGCATCCATCCTCATCTCGAGAGGGTAGACTGGTGGCGCTAAGGAACCTTGGCCAGGGTGATGGAGGATAGGTCTGACGATGCTTGTTTGGTTGCTTTTCATGCTGTGTCCGATCGCGGTGCCAGAGGTCATCGGGGTCAGTTCTTGGCGCTTGGCGTATCCCCACCCGCCCATCAGAAACGATGCCCAGGCGAGTTGCCTTGATCAGGGTAGTGCAGGAGCAAGGTGTGAAGCAAAGAGAGGCAGGCAACCGTCAAACCGAAGCTCGGGGGGGATATTGGGGAGGCCTTTGTTGCCCTCTTGGGCCTGATTGGGAGCCAATTCGGATGCTCTCGGGGCCACTTTGGCGGCAATCGAACAAACATAGGGTGGACACGATCAGAGCCCCCCATCAGAGTCCGAAGCAGTGCCTCTAGGGCCTTCTTGGGGCGCTCTTGGTGCGTTGGTGCGCTACTGGGGATCTTTGCGGCCGTATGGCTGCTTGACTGTGCCAAGATTTGGATTCCCTTCCACGATCTTGGCGCAATGTTGAGGCATCAGAAGCCTTTCGGAAGTGAACCGGCGAGACGGCAAGAACAACCGAAGCACCATACTTGGGCAGGTGAGCGGGTATGGCCTGGCGGGGATCTCGATGGGGTGATACGAGGCCACTTGGGGGGATAAGAGGCCACACTATAACCATAGAGTACGTGATTCGTTTGACATATCTCCGGTTCCTCGGATGTATATTGTGGAGGCTCCGTGGCTGCTTGGAGCCGCCTTGTGGCCACATTAATAAGCCATGGCACCTCTCCTGGCAGTCAGAGACTGCGCGAATCCTCTCTTTGATCCTCCGTCCCCCTCCTGTCTCCCCAATACTCCCTATTCCTTCCTATTTCTTCATCCCCCCTCGTCCTCCTTTGTCCTCGACAGCCCCTGGCGTACCCATTCTTCCATCCTCTTTATCCTCGATCCTATTCCGCCACCCCCATCTGTCCCTTCAATTTAACTCTCCTCCTCTACCATCATTGTTCATACCCTTAGCTATCCGTCTCTTGCCTTCCTGACCTTTCCGCCCTTCCCCAATCGTTATTCCCCTCCCAGTGCTCGTCTCGTCCCAGTCCACATCCCCTCCTCTGAACCCCCCCCGCCATTTCCCAATCGCCGTCCCCCTCTCTCTGACACCCCCCCTGTCCACATCCCCTTCCACCTCCTCTGCCCTCCCCTCCCTCTCTCTCTCGATCCCCTTCCCCCCCCCCGTCCCAACCGTCCACCGCACGCCACCCCCCTTCCCCCTCTCGCCATGCCCGTCACCTCCTCCCCCCTCCCGTCCCATCCCTCCCCCTCCCGCTCTCCCCCTCTCCCGCTGCTCACGCGCGGGCGGCTCCTGCCCCGACGCCCGGTGAGCGCTCGCCGAGGCTCTCGGTGGTGCGCTCGGGCATTGGGCTTGCCACGGACCTGTACGCCGCGGCCTCAGCCTCGCCGAGGAGGACGATGCACGAGGAGGGGTAGGAGGGGGAGCGGGGGAGGGTCAGGAGGGGGATGGAGGAGGGAAACAGGACGGCAAGATGAGGAGGAGAAGAGGATGGAAGGGGGGTGGAGAACGGGAGAGGATGGGTCACATATGGAGGCGGTGATGAGATCGCGGAGGAGGAGAGGACATGCGGAGCTCGGGAGAAGGAGGAGGAGGCCGATCGAGCGAGCGAGGGGCGCAGGAGCAGGCGCAAAGCAGGCCCGTCGGCCAGGACCGGGGTGTCGGGCGGGCGGGCTACTGTTCGGGCTCGGAGTGTGCTCGGCCGCGTCCTCCCTCCCCCCTGCCCCCGCCCCAGCTCCCCACCTCGCCCTCCCTCCCCACGGAGAAGGAGGGGGTGGAGGAGGGAAGGAAGAGGGGACAGGTCTTGGAGAAAGGGGGAGGCGGAGAGGAGAGGAGGAGAAAGATGCAGCGGACGGGAAGAGAGGAGGAGGAGGAGGAGGAGGAGGAGGAGGAGGAGGAGGAGGAGGGAGGAGGAGGAGAAGGAGGAGGAGGAGGAGGAGGAGGTAGCAGTTAGGAGGGAGGATACCGCGGAGGAGCAGGAGGAGCAGCAGGAGGTTGTTCCCTCCGAGGGTATGCCGACTTGCTGGAGCAAAACAGGAAGCGGGCATTGGGCATAAGTGTTCAGGCACGAATGCAGCAACGCTGCGCCCGTGCCCTCCAGCCCATCCAGCGACGGGCATCCCACGCCTATGTGCGGGGTCTCACGTTCGATCGCCTTGGCTGGTGCCATCTGGGTCGCCCAGATGGCAGGCTGGTGCCATCTGGGTCGCCCAGTGGCACCATTCAAGGCGACTGCCCAGATGGCGCCAGACGTCATCGGGCTTCACTGTGCGCGCCCAGTCTGGGCGAGCGCGGTGGAATCCTATGTAGCTGGGCGTAGTGGCATGCGTGGCGATTTGAACTTGTCGATCGTTGATGGTGCGTGGCTTGATTTGTTCTTCGACTGCGCTCGGCGCTCTGGAATTGGGACGTCTCGGCGCTCGGGAATTGCAACTTGCACAGCTGTTTTTGGCTACACACCGCTTCGCGGGGGGCGGCCAGGCAAGCCTTCCGTCTGCTCCAGGGTCGTCTTGGAGGTCTCATGTGGCCATCTGGGGACAAGCTCGGGCTTGTTACGGGGCCTTCTTTGGACATATTGTAGCACTCTATGCTACCTTGAGGCCTCTTGAGGCCGTCTTGGGTCCGTTCGAGTTGTCGTGGGGCCCAGTGCTGGTGCGATTTCTTCGGATACCCCCGTGCAGCGTGTGCCGCCGGCGCCGAAGTCCATGACATTCTTCGTGGGAAACCAGTCGTATCCCCGAAAGACAGGACACTTGAGCGCAGCAAATGCGAAGCAGTTGTACTGCTGTCAAAGTACGGGAGTGCATTTGGAGGATATGTGCGCCCATGAGTGGCGAATTCGATGGAGCCTCCTGTCAAGCTGGAGAATCTAACAGAGACGGTGTGGCGCATGATGAACATGGTGGGGGTGTTTAGGCCGCCGTGGGTTCGTTTTGGGGCTATCGCGGGTTGTTTTAGGTTGCGCGGATGATTTCATGGCGCTCGCGGGGGCGCATACGAAGAGTGAGGGCGTTGTGCATGCGTTTGCAAAGTTGTAGTTGAGAGGATTTGGGCCGCCCTCAGCCTGGGCTTCCTGTGGCATCTTGGAGGCCGTGTCGAGCGGCTCTTGGGGTTGTCGTGGGCCCGTATTTGGGCCTCCTGGGGTTGCATGGGGGCCCGCCCGGCTCCCGCCGCTCGGGGCCTTTTTGGAGCGCACTGGGCCGTCATGGGCCGCTTGCAGGGCTTCTTTTGGGGGGCCCTCTTGGGGACGATCGTGGAAGCCTTCTTTGAGACAGCAAGTGTTATGTTGTTCCCATCCCACTTAAGGACCGCATCCCAGAAACAATTTCGAGCACCCGGAAAAGTGTCGAAAACGTGTCGAAACAGTGTCGGGCGAGTGCCTCCCAGGGCCGGACACGTTAAAACCTTTGAGTTTCGGTATTTTTTTTTGGCGCTCGAAACTCTTTCTGGTGATCAAGGCTAAAGTAGGTTGGAGCATCATAAAGCAAGTGACATACGGTTCCGCTCGTTTTGGGTTGAATGTCTATCGGCGAACAGTTCGCAATAGCCTCCATGGCACATAGCGCCGAACAGCGCCCAAACAGCGCCCAGCAGCGACGAGTCGCGCCCAATAGCGCCACCTGAGGGAGACGCATTGTGTCCGCTTTGCGTGCGATTGTGCACGCTATTGGGCGCCATGGGGACGAATAGAAGCTTGCGTGTGTTGCTTTCTGATCTCCGGGCTGGGGGATAAGTCGGCCAGTGGGGCCAATGCTACAGTCAACCCGCATAGTAAGGATAGGCAAAACCTTTACAAGGATACCCTTGCATCCTTGCCTCCTCGGTCCATCCTGGGCCACTTTCGTTAACCGCGCCCCCGCTTGAAAAGCTTCGAAGTGGGCGTCCAAGGACCTTGCGTCCTCGTCGCGCATCCTTATGATACGGGCCGACTGTACAGCCAGGGTGCATGGGTCGGGGGCGGCAAAGAGGGGGGTGAGGACTAGGGGGGGGTGGATATCATGGCGTGGGCCATGATATTTCCCCTGATTTCATGGCGCCTCTTCTCATTTCACTATGTCCATGGCCCCCCCGCTGGGCCGCGCACATGCCGCCTGTCATGCTTTACACCCCCCCCTCTTGGACCCCCCCTCTTGGCCGCTCCCGAATGGGGATCGGTTCAACGATGCTCCGATGTCCCGCTGGCTGCTTCGTAGAAAAGGGCGTCCATTGGGGCGGCGTGCACACGGGGCGGACACGAGAGGGGCGGCCACCTCTTGGAAGGCGGGGGGCTTCTTGGAAGGCGTGTGCGAGCCATGTCCCTTGGCCTTCAGAGGGTGCTCCTTGGCGGCACGATCCGCGGGATGGGGCGTGCCGCAAGGGCCAGGTGGTTGCACGAACGACGTGGGCACGGAAAGAATGGGTACAATGCCCAGCAGCGGATCCAGTTCAGTTTGAACAGGACCAGCTGTCCGCGCCGCCGCGGCCTGTGTCCATTTGAGAGAAGGCCGCCTGCCCAACAGCGGCCGTTGTTGGCTTGGGACGACATTTGTTGTTGGGCATTGTACCCATTCTTTCCGTACCCATTGCGGGCGTCCAAAAGGGGGGGGGGCCGCAATGCGAGCCCTCGGGGCTCAAAGGACGGGGGTCGCTGCAAACGGGGGTCCGCGAGAGCGCCGGATCTTACGGGAACCTGCAGGGACCCGGGCGCATTGACCCGGGCTTGGGTGCAGGATCCCGCAGAATCTTGCAGGATCTTGCAACGCCTGACTGACCCGGGTCTGGGTTGACCCGGGTCAGTGGATTCCCAAAGCCCTACCTCTGGGGCCGTAGGTGGAGATCCCTGTGGGCCACGATCCATATGGGAGGTGTGCCGAAGTGGCCACGGGGGGCGCGCCACCATGCGAACCTTGTCTCTGGGGCCGCAGGTGGAGCTCCCCGTGGAGCACGGTCCTTGTGAGGTGTGTGCCGACATCGGCGGGGGGACGCCGAGCCAAGCCTTTCTCCGGCCCCGTCGGTGGAGTTCCTTGAGGGGCACGTTAGGAGGGAAAAAAGCACACAGACACAATTAATCGTCGATTCCCCAGAAAGTATTGGGAAAATATGGGATGTTAGCGGGAAGACAAGAACCCAGACCATCTAAGAAATTCTAGACGCTTCGCGTATCCCCACCAGCCCGTCCAGAAACGACGCCCAGGCGAGTAGAGGGTCGTCCTGAGGGGCTTTTCGGCGTCTTGGGTGCCTCGGGGGGGCCTCTGTGGGCCGTTCGGGATCCTCTTTGGGGCCTCCTGGGGGCCTCTTGGGGCCTCTTGGGGCCATCTGGGGCCTCTTGGGGGTCTCTTGGGGGCCTCCTGGGGGCCTCTTGGGGGGCCTCTTGGGGCCATCTTGGGGCCATCCTGCGGCCTCTTGGGGCATCCTGGGGGCCTCTTGCGGCCATCGTGGAGGAAATCGATCAAAGAAGAGGGGAGCCTTAATTAGCGTTGCCCCCTGAGAAGGCCAAAATGGGGCCAAAACCATAGTAAAATCAATGTTTTTGGCTTCCTCGCCGAGGCCGTTTTGGACGCTCTGACCGCTCCCCGCCCCTCCTGTCCAGGTCAGTGGGGCGGGGGTAGGGGGAGGGGGAAGAAGGAGGGGTGGAAGAGGAAACTCGTTAAACCACCGACGCCCAAAGGGCTGGTGGGATTAAATTATCGGGAATTTGGTTATTTGTATCTACTTATTTGTGTGTCCCAGGGCCTCTTCAGTAGATTCAGGCAATCGCAAGCATGGATCAAGGGAGCAGCGACCTGCCCCGTTTCCATGGGAATGCGTGGATTTCCGCCGCCGAGCGAGGTGGCACCGGCCGCACATCTTGGGGAGAGCACCTCCCCCGATCCATGGATTTGGCGACCGCGCACCAAGTCCATGGATCGCTAGTCCATGATGGTGCGCCCCCAACATGTGCCCTCCGATGCCGAACACCGTAGACTACAGCTAGGGCCTGCTAGAACCACGCGCGCGCGAAGCGCGCGCGTGGTTCTAGATGTAGTGTAACGCGACGCGGTTTCGTGGGATATGTGCTTGCCCCATACCATCGAATATGGATACAACGCGGGGTCCAGCGATGAGTTTCAGAAGCGGACGACATAATCACGCCAGAACGATTACCTACGTTGGTGCACCATGTTGGGAGGGCCTCTCGCCAGTCTCTCTTCCAGAGACAGGCATCTCGTGCAAGATTGGGGGGCATCTCCAGGATGTGCGCTTCTCCTGGGGGCTTTCGGAGTGCGGTGGTAGCTTCGTGGGTGCCTCCTGAGTCTCGGTCTCTGAGGCCTGCCAGGCCATCGCGGAAGTCGCTTGGGTCCCCTTTCAGGACGTTTCGGGGGCGTCTCGGTGGATCAGTCGGTATGTCCGTGGATAATGGTCAGGAGGAAAAGAAACACACAGACACAATTAATCCTCGATTCCCCAGAAAATATGGGAAAATATGGGAAGTGGGGGGGAAGACAGAAACCCAGAAAATATGGAAAAATATAGGGGATATTTTTATTTGTGTGGATTTATTTGTGTGTCCTGGAGCCCCTTCAATCTTGAACGCCTCTTGAGTGTCTCGGGTGCTTCTTGGCTGGCCCTCTCGCATCCTATCGGGCCGTCCCCGGGAGCCCTCGGGAGGCCCTTTTCGGGCCGTCCTGGGGAGCCGCTCGGAGGCCCGCGGAGTCGATTGAGGGGACTCTTGGACCATCGTTGAGGCATCTCGGAGAGATCCTGAGGACCTCTTGAGCCGTCTGGGCAGCCTCTCAGAAGTGCGTCTGGTGCCCTTGGATTCTCCTGGGGTTCTCTTGAGACCAATGGAGGAGTGGTGCCAGAAGTCGCCCCCCATCTGGAACCATCATTGGATGCAATGGCCCAGCACATGGTGCTTCCCTGCTGAAGTTGCACAGCGGCGTCGTCGGTCTTCGAGACGACGAAGAGGGCCTTGCCCTCGAGATGCCAGCCGAAGTTGGGACCATGCGGAGGGGCGGGAGGGGGGTCAAACCGTCAAGCCCTTTCCCATGAGGTTCGAGGATTGCAGAGAAAGGAGCGTGCCGCTGGCGCGAGGGTTAAGCACAACCCCCGTCTTGGAGGGCGCCCCTCATTTTCTTCGTGTGTGGGCCATCCACCTTGGAATGACTTTTGTTTAGGGCATCGCCATGGCAGTTTGGAACCTTCGGCGAAGGGGTTCATGTTTTTGACCCGTGTTCTTGCGGCACATCTTCCACTGCATGGCACGCTTCTGGGCCACTTGCCACCCAGAGGGCCCGTGACAGCATGCCCACACGACGAGGAGGAGGAGGAGGAGGAGGAGGAGGAGGAGGAGGAGGGGGAGGAGGAGGAGGAGGAGGGGGAGGACAAGGAAGAAGAGGAGGAGGAGGAGGAGGAGGAGGAGGAGGACCCAGCCCTTCTGGTCGTCAGCATTCCCTGGGCGTCCTGGCTGGCATCCTGCACAGGCCCCCAGGGCCTGCGCCGTCACGGCAGCACGCGGCTCGAAGGACTCGTCGGGGCGAGGCCCCGGGAGGTCCCCCCCCGCCTCGGCCCCCCTCGCCAAGGGGGGGCGGCGGGGTCGAACTCCGAGTGGGACCCTCTGGGCTGGGAGCGAACCCTGCCAGAGGAGGGGGCAGGGCTCAGTTTAATGCCTCCGATTCGATTCGGTTCGATGTCGGTGGCCTGCGATTCCGATGCGATTCGGCTTGGGATTGCGATTTGGATTCCGATCCCTCCATGGAGGCCTACCAGCGTGCCGATTTCTGCAGATCCGACTTCTCCCGACGTTGCTTCCGAATTCCGCCGATCCGACTCATTGCGATCGCCGATCCCACTTATCACCACCCACCAAACCACCCCAACCCAACCCGAAGGCTTCAATTTGCCCTCCGTTTCCGGTTGGGGGGGGGTCGGAGAACGCTGAACAAACACATGGAACCCGTACCCCCCCCCAACCCGAAATTCGGGTCAAATTCCGGTCTCCGGGTTGGGTTGGGGCGGTCTGGTAGGTACTCAACTTATCGATCCGACTCTGGGCCCGCTTGAGGGGGGCAGGAGCGTCGAGCATCCGGGCTCCTGCATGCTGGTGGCCCTGGGATGGTGTTGGGCCCTCCAGGCACTGGCCAGCAGGGCGTATACACCGTGCCAGGGCCCATGGCGGCCCTGGCCGGGTGCAGTGTGTGTGTGTGTGTATGTGTGTGTGTGTGTGTGTGTACAGTCGGGGCCCCGAAGAAGGAACCCTTTTGGTTGGGGAAGAGGAGGAAGAGGTGCGCTCTCGGCCCGCGGATCGAACAAAAAGTGTGTGGATCTCGTCGCCGCCTCCAGCGGCGCCCCGCGGGCGCTCCCAGAGGCCCAGGGCAGGGGTGCCCGAGGCCGCCGCCTTGGGCTACAGTCGGGGCCCTGAAGAAGGAACCCTTTTGGTTGGGGAGGGGCTCCGCGTTCCTTGAGTGTTTCACGGCTTGCCTCAGGTTCTCCTCATGTTTTCGATCGGAAATCGAAGTTTAATTCATGGAGAAAAGGGGCCTCGTTCCTTATTCAGGGTTCCTTGGGTCAGGGCCCCGACCGTGTAGATGCCCTCTGCGTGAACGTCATCCTCTTCCGTCTCCTACCCGTCGTGGGAGGGTCGCCGAGCCACCGGTGCTGTGCGGTCTATTCCAGGTCGTCGGCTGCCCCTTGGGGGCCAGTCCCCCCCCTGTTCGGGTCGAGCTCGAGGTGGGGCCTCCAGGCCGAGCGCGGACACTCCTGGAGGAGGGAAGGCGAGGGGCGTCGAGTGCCCTCCCCGTGCCCCCGTCGGCGGCGCGCGCAAGGGGGGGGGGGGGGCGCGAGGGCGGCTGCCTTCCACAGAAGGCGGGGGGGGGCTCCTGTGCGAAGGCAGCGGCCTCCTTGGAATGGCCCAGAAGCTCGGGGGTCCCCAAACGGGGTGGTGACCACACCGTGGGGTGAGTCGGTGGGGATTCGGGGTCACCGCACGGTTTCGGGACTCGGGTCGCTAACCGAGGACGTTTGGGGCGACAGGGGGCCTCCGAGGTCCCAAAACTGTGCGGTGGTGACGGACCGTGCGGTGAGGTCTTGGGGGATTTTGAGGTCACCGCACGGTCCGTCACCGCACCGTTTCGGGACTCCACATTGTTTTTGCTACAGTCAGCGCGCTCAGGAAGGACGCGCCCCTTCATCTTGGGTGCCCCTGCGTCCTTGCCCCTGCGGCCCGTCCTTTGCCGTTTTCATTGGTCGCCCGCCGCCCGAAACAATCCCAACTGCGGCCTCCAAGGGCCATGGCGTCCTTACCACCCGTCCTCGCTGCACGCTTGGAGTGTGGGGCTTCTCAGAGGTTGGTGCGGGCTTCGGGAAGCCCCCCCGCCCAGGTTTCTTAGAAGGCCGCCCCCCCCCTCGCGCCTACCCCCTTGGTGCGCAGCGCCAGTCCTCCTCCATTTCGGGGCCCAGTCCTGCTCCCTGGGAGCAACTCCTGCCAGTCCCCCCCCCCCCGGATGCAGTGGAACGGGCGGGCTGGGCGTGTCGCCTGGGCCTTCCTTACAGCTTGTGATCTTGGAGCTTGACAGTTGCAATCGTTGCGCCGGTTGACGGCGGGTGGTGTTCAACATGTGATTCTCGCCTTAGCTCCGCGCGCATGAGTTCTGAACGTTTGCAGCCGTTTCACGGATGGAGGGCGGCTCGTTTTCAAATTGTGATTATCGTTTGTGTGCCGCGTTCATTCGTTCTAAATCTTTGCATCCGCTTCATGGATGGAGGGTGAGTCTTTTTTTCAGCATGCGGGTCTCATTTTACCGCCGCGCACGTCCGTCTCATCAGCTTACAACAATTCCAATGGCTCCTTTTTCAGCATGTGGTTTCCGCTTAGCGCGACTTCGGATCTGTCAGGACGTTTACGTTCTATCACGGTTCAGGGTCGCCAAGTCGTAACAGTCAGGGTGCGGGGTTGAAGTCCCAGGAGCGATGTTCTGGCACAGCTCAAGATTTTCAAACCATTGTCATCCAACGGCGCATTTCTGATGATAATGAATTAACAGGGAACTCGGAGGTAGGGTGTATTGCAAGATCGTTGATGAGTCTTAGGCTTACTCTGGTCCTCCTCCTCCTCCTCCTCTTCCTCCTCCTCCTCCTCCTCCTCCCCTCCCCCCCGACCACTCCTGAGCCCAACTCAGGACCTGACGATCATCAACGCGATCCGCCCCCAGCTCGAGGACTCTGCCTCCCCTTCTCGTCCAGGCAGGCTTTGCGGGCGCGTGCCGAGGCGGGCAGGCGCAGGCTGAGACCAGCGTAAGGCCCGGGAGGAGGAAGCGGTGGAAGCAAGCAATCGGCAAGGCTCCGGGTTGCGCACAGGCAGCCCCCCATAGGATTCAGTCGGGCCTGTCCCCCGACAGGGGGATCTTCGACGGAAAAGAAAACATACCCCAAACATAGTCCAACAATAGTTTGGGGATTAGTTTTTTAGTATTCTTTGACCTTTCTGGGGTATTCAGGGGGGTATTTCTTTATTTTTCGTCGACACTCCCCCTGTAGGGGGGCAGGCCCGACTTAGCCATAGGCGGACGAGGCCCAGGACGTGCCCCCCGCCGCGGGCCGGGCCCATCCTGGGCCCCCGGGAGCGGCGTACATGCCTCGGCCTGGCCAGCGGCGGTGGATGTGTATGGATCTCGTCCTCTCCCGCGGCCACTTGAGGCTGGTGTACATGACGCGCCGCTGACGGCACCACCACCACAGCATTTTGCTTCTACCGGTTTATCGCCACCGGGTTCCTGTACAAGGCGTTCCTTTGCAAGCACATCGTCTTCGGCACCGCCCGATTCCGGGGCTCTGCCCTCTCTTGGCCTTGGCGTGAGGCCCCTCCTTCTTTCCCCCCCTCTTGGTTAATTCAAGCTTCGCGCGGCCGCCCTTAGATTCGACCGGAAGAGGTGCGCTCTCGACCCGCGAATCGAAAAATGAGGAGGAGGAGGAGGTCGAAAAAAAGTGTATGGATCTCGTCGCCGCCTCCAGCGGCGCCCCGCGGGCGCTCCAAGAGGCCCAGGGCAGGGGTGCCCGAGGCCGCCCTGGGCTACAGTCGGGGCGCTGAGGAAGGAACCCTTTTCGTTGGGGAGGGGCTCCGTGTTCCTTGATAGTTTCGCAGCTTGCTTCAGGTTTTCGATGGGCAATCGAAGCTTAACTTATGGAAAATAAGGGGCCTCGTTCCTTATTTAGGGTTCCTTAGGTCAACGCCCCGACTGTACTCGGGGGTCTGCTGAGGCGAGCCCGGAAAGCTTGGGGGGGGCACTTGTGGGCAGCCCGATGCTCTGCCAAGGAAGATGACGACGACAATGATGTTGCTGAGGATTGGGGCGCTGCTGATCGAGGGGAGGATCTACGGGAGAAGTGGCCCACGTGAGGATTATCATGACGCTTCTGACAGCGATGGTGAGGACAAATAAGGACGGCAACGACGACGACGACATTCATGATAACGATAATGATGATGTTGATGCTGATGATGATGAGGATGACGAGGATGCCGACATTGACGATGCTGATGATGATGATGATGATGATGATGGTGATTATGATGCTGGTGTTGATGATGATGTTGATGCTGATTATGATGGGGATGGTGAGGATGATGCTGACGATGTTGATGATGATGACGATGACGATGATGGTGCTGGTGGTGATGGTCCTGATGATGGTATTGATGATGATGTTGACCGTGATCGCGATCATGATCCTGATGGTGATGATTATGCTGGTACTGATGATGATGTTGCTGCTGATGCTGTTGCGGATGATGATCTTCATTATGATCGTGATGATGATGAGGAGGAGGATAATACGGTTACGAGGATGATAGCGATGTTGAAGATGGTCATGTTGATGATGATGATGATGATGATGGTCATGATGATGATGTTGATTATGATAATGGCCATGATAATAATGATGGTGATGGTGTTGATGATGATCATGATGGTTATAGGTTTGATGATGATGGTGGCGATGATGATGATGATGATGATGATGATGATGCTGATGATGATGATGATGATGATGATGATGGTGGTGGTGATGATGATGATGATGATGATGATGATGATGATGATGATGATGATGATGATGATGGTGATGGTGGTGGTGGTGGTGGTGGTGGTGGTGGTGGTGGTGGTGATGACGATGATGAAGGTGATGGTGGTGATGATGCTGAGGATGATGATGGGGATGACGAGGAGGACTACGATCGTGATGACAATGATGATTGTGATGAATCCCTGGTCGAAAACGGGCCTGATCAGGTTGAGCTCAGTTTAATATGGTTGAGTCCCGTTTCGCCCGGCGGCTGAATCCCATGCGTAAATCCGGTTTTTCTGGCCCAATCGCCCGCCTTCTTCTCGGACCTCCTAGTCAGGAGCTGCTTCCCGATTTGGTGTGCGCGCCGCCAGTCTGCACCTGCGAGTTCTGCGGTCTACGGAGTGCTCCGCCGCCGCGGGGCCCTGCACCGGTGCCGCTGGCGGGCGTCGCTCGCGGAGGGGGGGGGGAGCGCCGCGCGGGGTGCTGCTCAGGGTCGTTGTGAGGCAAACGGGTCCTGAGGCATGCCACTGCTTCCAGTCAAGGGAGAAAAACCGCCCCGACCCCGACGTCTGGCGTTTGCCAAACTCACCACCTACCAAACCACCCCAACCCAACCCGAAGGCCTCAGGTTGCCCTCCATTTCCAGTGGGGAGGGGTCGGGGAACGTTGAAAAAACACATGGAACCCGTACCCCCCCAAACCAGAATTTCGGGTCAAATTCGCGTCTTCGGGTTGGGTTGGGGTGGTCTGGTAGGTAGTCACAAACAGCCCTGGGCGCTTACTAAGAAGCTCTGGCCTGTTCGATTTCTTCCCTGGGTGCGTTTCCTCAACGGCTTCGCGTGTCGGAGTGCTTCTTCTTGGGATGGAGTTTCTGCCCTCTGTTCGGCCGCCCTCGTGAGCGGCGAGCCGATCCGTGTCCGCGCCCTCGTCGTCGGGATTCTGGGGCGCAGCCCCGCGGACACGCGGTCGGAAGAGTGCGGCCCGCGCGGGGCATCCGCGAGCGAGCGCCCCGCATCCGCGGGAGTGGGGCCCGGGGGGGCCCAGCCCGCGAGGCAGCGGACATTTTTTTAATCAGCGATGACGGAACCCAGTGGCACGACACGGCAGACGAACGACAGACGACAGACGAAGACGACGGAGGAGGCGCGAGAGGAGGAGGAGGAGGAGGAGGAGGAGGAGGAGGAGGAGGAGGAGGAGGAGGAGGAGCAGGAGGAGGAGGAGGAGGAGGAGGGGAGGAGGAGGAGGAGATGAGGAGGAGGGAGGAGGAGGAGAGGAGGAGGAAGGAGAGGAGGAGGAGGGGAGGGGAGGAGACAGGAGGAGGAGGAGGAGGAGGAGGAGAGGAGGAGGAGGAGAGGAGGGGAGGAGGGGAGGAGGAGGGAGGGGGAGGAAGGAGAGAGGAGGAAGGGAGGAGAGGAAGGAGGAGGAGGGGGGAGGAGGATGAGGAGGAGGAGGAGGAGGAGGGTTGAGGGCGGTAGAAGGGAAGGGGGGGGAAGGGGCGGCGCGCCGGCCCGCGAGGCAGCGGACACGGAGATGTCTTCTGCTCCACGTCTCCCGGGGCCCTCCACGGGCCCCAGGAAGGTGTGAGACTTGCCCAGGGCGACGAGATGGCCCTGGGGGAGGGCCCCTGGGGTCTAGGGTTAGGTCGGGCCTGTCCCTCTACAGGGGGAATCGTCAACAACAGTAAAACAAATACTCTGCGGACGATTTGTCGAGCATTGCTTGGCTATCTTTGAGCACTCTTTGGCTATGTTTGATTCTTCCTCCAGAACCCCCCCCCTGTGGGGGGACAGGCCCGACCGAAGTTTAGGACCCGTTCCTCCCTATAGGACCCGTTTGCTCCACTCCGTCGGGGCGTCCCCGAAGCCTGGGGTCAGCGCTGACGGGGATCGGCCAGTCCCCTCCGGAGTCCCCTCTGGCCGATCCCTGGGCCTCCTCCTCCTCCTCCTCCTCCCCCTCCTCCTCCTCCTCCTGCTCCTCCTCCTCCTGCTCCTCCTCCGCCTCCTCCTCCTCCTCCTCCTGCTCCTGCTCCTCCTCCTCCTCCTCCTCCCCCCCCCCCCGCCCCCGCAGCCCTCCCCTCCCGCCGCCGACCCCCGGGCGCTGGGGGAGCAGCTCCGTGGCCGGCCCGTGTTCGGGCCTTGGCCCCGGCGGGCGTCCCCGGGGCGCTTTGAGCCTGGTTTTTTTTGGATTCGGGCAAGTTTACTTGCATGGCGTTCGCCCCCCCCCCCCCCCCTCGCCCCTCTTCAAGCGAATGCTAGCGTGCAAGTGCCTTTCGACTTGCGTGATTTCCGCGCCCCCCCGAACGTGCAAGTCGTTTGCGGCTTGCTTCAGGCTCAGCCCCCCCCCCCCGTCCATGCAAGTAAACTTGCCAGAGTCTAAAATAGAGCAGGCTCCTTTCGACAGCACCCCTGGAAGGCCGGGGGCGGCCAAGAGGGGGGTGAATCGTCAAACGACGCGAAGATCGGAACAAAATCGGATCGGGATAACTCGAAATCTCTGAGGATCGGCGGGTTTGGAGGATGTATTGGGCGCCGCGGCCGCTCCAGAGCGTTCCGGAACGCTCTGAGAGCGCTCCGGAACGCTCTGGAGCGATTTATCCCGATCCTAGCCCTGTTTTAGATCGGGAG